CCATGGATCCCATTTCTGCTCGGTGTCTTTCTGATGGTGGAGTCGTGAATTCTGATCTTAGCTGAAGCGAGAGAGGACTGCAGATTCCTAGATGTTGCTCTAGTTCATTGCGACTTCCTGGACAATTTTACTCCTTGCACGACTGCTGCTTGCATTGGTGTAACATCAGGAGAAGTTGTTAATGAAGGAACCAGCTCTGTGCCTCATGCTTCTCTGTCGAGATCTCTTGTGAGAGTGTTTTCTGAAAGCATCAGCCAGGCGATGAGAGTTTGTAATGTCACATGTTTCAGCTCATGTATAGACGTGTCAAAGTGGTTCTCTAGCATGTATCCTCATGGAGATATTACACTGCACTCCTGCACTCTTCTAGTGCATTAAGATAGGGAGTTTGCTTTGTCTTAGCACTGTATTTCAGGGAATGGCTATTAGATGATGTCAGACTGTGTGGTTTCATTGGGGCAAGGTGGCCAGCACTGCAGCCTCATACTTCTTGGAAGGTCCCAGGTTCGATTCTGGACTGAAATGGTTTCTGAGTGGCATTTTCTTATTCTCCCTGTTTTTAAGTGCATTTGTGATGGGCGTCTTGGTTTTCTCTCTCTACAAGTGATGTGCTAGTTTAACTGCTGTCCCTAAATTGAACTTGCGTAGCCTGCAGCAAATTGACTGGCCTTCCTTCCTTCCAAAGTTGTCCCACTTTGTGTCTTGTAATTCCTGGACAGGCGTCAGGATGCTGATCCCTACCAGGAGTGAGAGGATGTTGTATCATTCAGTGAGTGTTTTAATGAAATCAACCATGTTGAATGGATTAATTTACTCATTTGTTACTGAAATGAAGCTGATGGAAAAGCAGTAGTGCGTAATTTTGGTTCCAAGTTCCTTGGATTACAGGAGCCAAGCATCATCTTGAGAATTTCTCTATCCAAAAACAATTAATGCAAGTCTCCAAATATGGCCCCTTTGTAAGCTGAAGTTTCTTAGAGACTTTGAGAAAAACAGGAAGAGGGAGGACCCAACACTGATTAACTTCATATACTGTGACTTCCATAGTCAATAATGGGCTTTAACATGGTGGAGAAGGAACCTGATAGAAGCACACATTGCCCTGGTGTTTTTGTCCTCACAGGTGGATGAAAGATGTAATATTAATGGAGCCTGCTTTTGAAATTTGGCTAAATATAATTAATTTCATTGGCTACACGTAACTCCTTGTCAGCATAGTGCCAAATTCATTATCGTATTATTCTTTAAAGCAAACAACAGCTGACTCCCTTTATTTGAAGAAAAATTTGTTGTTTTTTTCCTGCAGCTGTCAGACAACTGCCAAGCCAAGCCAAGAGAAATTTCTGATGGTTGTCCTTTCTTCAGGTTCTTCTTACGGTTTTACGTTTATCATGGTCCGTGGAGAGAATGTACTTGAAAAGACAAAATATTCCAGCTCCTGACGATAGACTTGCGGAGACAATGGGACACAATGTCACACTCAACGCGAAATAATGGCTTAGCTAAAAAGCTGGCTAGTAGACAAAAATTAACCTGAATTTGTGTAAAGGGAATTTGAAACTGAAAAATCCTTTTGATATTTTCCCCATTTAAACATCAGCAATTGAATGAGCATGACTAAATCGACTGCTTACTGAGGATGTGCAGAAGGAAACTCTGAAACAAGTGCTGAGTTAGTCACAAAGCCTTCAGAGCTAAAGGAGAAGGGTAGACTGTTAACTTCTGGTTTTGTGGTTCACTGGCCCTTTCCTTTCTAAGGTCTTTGTTTTCTGTTTAATGTCTACAGGGGACACAGCACTTTATTACATCGTATCCCAATCCTTTGTCCTGGTAGGTGGGGGAGCTTTGCAGAGTTACATCACCCTTTCTAACCCGTATTTTGTAAGAGTGGCACCAATGTTTTGATGCTGCCTGACATTTTACAGTACATTTTGCAACAGTGTGGAGTAGTGATTTGAGATCTCACAGCTTGTACAGTTATGGAGTTTCACGGCTGTTGTGTGCCTGCTTAATTGATTTAATTCACTTAGATTGCTCCGATTATTGAATTCTTTAAGCTGTCATAAATGTGCTATGATCAGGTCACCCTTGCCCCCTCTGTGCTAGTTTTCTGTTGCCTGCCTTTCTCTGTGTTCAGTATTTGCTGGGGATCAAGTCCTGATTATCGATCAGCTGTGGACCTTCAGCACACCTACAGTGATGTGAAAAAGAAAGTACACCCCTTGGGAGTGTATGGTTTTACATATTAAGACATATCTGACCTTCACCTAGTCCTCCCCAAGTTCTCACCGAGTAGATAAATCTAACCTTATTTGACGTGTAATTCTAATGACCTTCTTGGCTGATATGGAAGCAGTTACTTACTTCAGTAATTAAAAGTAAGTGATTCACTTACTTTTTCACACAAGGCTTCTGAAAGTTGCTGATTTTTTTTGTTTGATAAGTCATAACCGTAAAATGTGTGTGTTATTTGTCACCTGAGGTTAGATTGAACTCCTGTTATGACTTGGTGAGGACTGTACTGTATATAGCAGATGGGATTGAGGTTAGGAGAGAGGGAGATGTAAGAAGAGAGACCTACACAGAGATCATAGGAACGACACGGGATACTTGGGTTTGAGACATTCTTGTTGTACTACGGATTTCTTTTATATTTTTCTCTCCTCGCGAGTTGCATTTGTTCAGTTCAGATGGGTATTTTGTTTTATAGTTGTCAGCTTGGCTAAGACAGGGAGCAGGCCAGTCCCCAGAAGGCTTTTTTCGTCTATGTTTGTTGTTTTTTCAGGCCTATTGGAGAAAGTGTCTTTAGTTTTATTAGTATTATTTTTTTATTTAGTACAGACCTGCACATTTATGTGGAAACAGTTATTTATGTTCCCCAACAAATGCCATTGATTGTTTACAAATATTTTTTTTTCTAGCAGTGTTTCCTTGGTGGGCGGATTATTGTTTATTTCCTCCGGACACACCTTCCCTGTGTTTTGTTTCTTTGGGAAAGCTAGGTTTGGCGTAACAATTTGAAAAATTAGTTCTCAGTTGTAATGTGTGGTATATAAAAATAGCTATCGTCATGATCAAGTAAAAGGGCTCGGCAGAATGGTTGTTTTGTCCTTTTCGGTCTAGACGACCTCCACTTGTTCCTTTACAGTTAACGCACTGACAGAGCTCCTCACTGTGGCGTTATTATTAATACTACATTGTTTCCAAAACAGTGCTGGAAAACTGCAAATGCTTCTTGCTTATGTAAATGATAATTATGTGATGTCGTCACAGGATGTAATATAAGACCTGCAAACCTTCAAACTAATGAAAGGAATTGCCTAGCCCTGGAACAATTTGAATAGTTTCCAAAGGTGGACAGCCAACTTGTCCACTGAGTCTCTGGACTCTTCTCTATCTGCTTTATAAGTTACTTGAATGCTCTGTAAGCAGGCCACTGGAGTCTCTGAGATCTGATTTTAATGCTTCTTTACCTTATATTTTTTAGGTGAGCCTTGGAGGATTTGAAATAACACCACCAGCAACATTCCGCCTCAAGACTGGCTCTGGACCCGTCTTCATCAGCGGTCAACATTTTGTTAGTAAGTGACCCTTTCCACACTTTTTACCAAGTCCCCGTTTTAGTGCTTTTTAACAAGTGGGAGGTTTCAGTAGCTTCTTCGTCATTCTTTGAGTTCTTTCCTGAAACAGCAGCCTGATGAGAACCTCTGTTGTGACTCTTAGAGGACTGCAGGAAAGCCAAGTCTCAAGGTCGTGAAGATGTTACACTTGTACTAATGCAAACTGTTTTGTGGAAGCCTAGTTTTTTTTTTTCTTTCTCAGAAAAAGTATTTCGTGTAGGTTTAACCTGTAATATGTTATAGGTTAACTTTCTTTTTGAATTTGAAAATGGCAAAATGTGCAGTGTTCTGACTAAGCATTTTAGAGATCCCACTGGGAACTACATAGCTCGCTCAAAACCTTGTGGTCAAATGCTTCTACAACAAAGCATCTTGACAGCACACTCAGTCCTATGAAGTCTTTAGTTACAGTGCGACAATTTTCACACATGCAGTTTATGCTGACTCAGTGGCAGCTTTAAATTGGCATAACGTGAATTGTCTGTACAGATACAGAGCCAACTTTTTCAATCATGGCTGTGAACCACAGAGACCGCACGGAGCTGTCACAGCTGTAGGTGTCAATGCGTATTAATGGCTCTGAAGTGGTGTGGTGTGTTCTTTATGCAGCAGAATCACAAGTACATTTCATGGAAGATACGTTGTGCTTACTCTACTTACTGCAACATTGAAAATTCCTGAGTTTGGTTTCAGATTGTATTACTGCATCGATGTTTTTTAACCCAAACATCACATTCGAAAGACATATTCCACTGTGGTTGTTTTCTCCACTGGTGCTTGAGCCAGTGTCATTTTCTTTTAAAGGTCAGAATATTGATGTATTAATTATTAATTAATATAAACTTATTAACCGTGAAATGCAAGATCATCATCAGGCATGAAGTTCCTGATAATTTGTCATTGATTGTTATTACAGTACAAATAATAAGTGAAAAATGAAACAAAACTTGCTACCACAACAGGTTGCACAGTCAAAGACACTACTTCACTATTTGACTCTGACAGTGTAACAGATCTGGCATGGGACATCTGTCCACATGGAGTCCACATGTTCTTTCCTCTAGTTCCAACCTGTCTCCCAAAGGTATGGAGGTTAAGGTTGATTAGCTACTCTAAATGTGTTTTCCTTTTCCTAATAAATTGTTCTGGACTGGACTCTGCAGGTATGAAAGAGTCAGAAGATGAAAATGAGGATGAAGAAGAGGAGAACAACACATCACCTGTAAAAAGACCCTCCAGTTTAACGATGGGATTTCATAATGTGAAGGTAATCTTATTTCCTCTCAGGTTAAGGTGTAAATGTGTGTGGCACTAAATGCACTATGGCTTTGAACAGACTGTGTACACGTGGTTTTAACTTTTAGAGAGAGAGTCCATGTACATTGGGCTTCTAATTCGCCCTGTTCTCTCAGCACATGCATAGTGCAATAGACACTACAAGATGGTAAATAATAAATGACGACACAGTCATTAGTCACAGCCGACCATCATGCACAATATAGCACTGCAGCATACAAAGGGTAGTACAGAACAATACACAGACAGGGCAATAGGCACATGGTAGGCAAGTAAAGAGTACATGGTGCAGAGGTGCTTGAGTTCTGAGGCATTGCACAGTGAGCTGTTTATGATGCGCTCTGCCGTAGGGTAGAAGCTGTTCTTAGGTCTAGTCGTCCGTGCTTTAATGAAGCGGTACCACTTGCCAGTGCGCAGGAGGGACAACAGTTTGTACCTGGGATGATGGGGATGATCCTGAATCATGGATCGGGCTTTATTGCGACAGTGAGTGGTGTGGATCTCATTGATCCCTGTATTCGCATTCTGTAATCCTCTGTGATGCTATTTTTGCGGTCTACATTTTTTATACGTTAGGGTTGCTTCTGCTTCAGCCTGCCTAACTAGATAGAGTTTTTGGTGTGGCACTCAGCCCATATCCAGCTACACTGGAGCTGTCCAGAGCTGTTCTCTTTAATATGTCCACTTGTCCACTTCCCAGCTGTATGTAGCTGAACCTGGCACCCCTCTTGCGGCCAGGATGCCATACCAGTATTTTTAATAGTGGAAAACAGACGCAGCTGGAAAATAAAGAAAACATCTTAAAAGAAAAAACTATCACCACATGTTTGCAGCATTATCAAGTGCCAGATTTGTGTTTTGTCATGTGTGAAAGTGGCAGTTTAAGTTTAGCTCAGTGTGGAGACATGACTGTCCATGTGCTGTTTTAAGATGTGTCCTCGTCTAGTAGTCTTTCTTTTTATTCACCCTTCATTCGTTGTACATCTGAGCTTACGTGTTGTTCACATTTTTTGCCAAATGTATATGAAGCATCCAAGAAGGAATATGAACAATTTTCAGTACAGTTAGATTTGCAGCACCTTTGTGAAACCATGAGGATTTTGCTAATGGAATCCAGTCTGATAGTATTAATCCGTCCTGCCAAAGAGAGCTAATATCTGCATTACACTAATGTGGTTTTCAGTCATGGTAATTCACAGGCATATAAATACCATATTCCACAGGAGGACATGGAAAGGGTAATTTACAGTCTGAGCAAGTGATACTGTGCTGTTAATATTGGAGCCTTTTCCAGTTTTGGCCTACACTGCAGTGGACGTCAGTGAGAGTCAAGAGCTGACATTTCTTTTCAGGGCAGTGGTTACCCCATTCTGAGGAGGGTGTTGGCACGATACACCATATGTCGAGATTCTGTAAAGATTAAGTGGTGTTTATGTGTCAGTCTCAAAAAGATAAGCTTCCCCAGTGATTCATGTTCGAGCAGAAAATCTTAATATCTTCCCGTTGGGATTGATTTAAGAAAAATATTTTTATAAGTTGGACTAGAATCAGTGCTGCAGATAGAAGAACACCTCAATGTAACTCTGCTTGATAGAGTGTCTCACCTGTTCTTAATTCTCTTTTTTTTCTCAATGGTTTTCTGCAGAAGAAACTCAAAATGGAAACCGAAGAAGAGGAAGATGATGAGTAAGACATTCATTATTGTATTAAAATTTTCTGTATACCTTCAACAAAGTTTCCCGGTCCTTTTCTTTTCCACAAAAAAACATCATATTAAAGGTAATATAACAATGTACTGTAACTACTAGCACAAGGCCCTAACCCTGAATTTGAAGAGTTTTTAGCGTTTTAAACAGTACGGTTTTGTTTAAAAATTGTTTTAAACTAATGCTTTTGTTAATGCCCTTCTACTCATCTACAACTGATGCATTTGCAATACACAGATGGACAGTTTAACAATCCAGTTTTAGAGTGTGCAGACATTTTTAAAATGCATTATCTCATAAAATTAAAACATATATGAATTTCTGGGTCAGTATTGCTGGCTTTTCTTGGTTTAATCATCGTAAATAGATGATGTTAGGCCTGACTCTGATGTTTTGTCTAGGATATGACTCAATATGAATGCAGTTTATATTATTGCCCTGCCAAAAATGAAAACAAAACACCAAGCTAATCTCTTAAGTTAGAGTTTTTTTTAAAATACTTTTGATTCAGTTTCATTGCTTCTCTGACATCTGTAATGATTTTTTAAGCTTTGTTTTATACATTTAACTGCCAAATGACCTCACTGAAAATACATTTTAAAACCATGGCCCAATCAGCAGCACAAAGATAACTTTATTTATGGGTATCAAAAAAAAAACGTAATCAGTGTATGCCTTTATTTGTTTAGAAAAGTATTTTTTTATATTCATTTAACACTAGCATCGTGTTTACTTGAACATTCTTGACTAATTGTGATACATGTGAGTGACTTTGTTTCACCACATCAGTGAGGGTTTCCTGGGCAGCAGGTAATGAGGTGATCTGTCCTGCTGAATGTCGAGCCTGGTGAAAATCAAGAAAGGAAAACACAGAAACCATCTTATCAAGAGAGCACTACCTATGTGTTATCAGTATGTAGGCTGGACTACGTCACAACAGGCCGTGGGAGCCAGGCAGTCTTTAGCTGTGAATCAAAGTTTTGTGCAGACCACCCTGGTACAACAGACCAGTTAATGGGAGTGTTGCGGTTGCTACAGAACTCCACTTGGAGTAATTGTTAGCTACCTGATTATGTGTCACTATATAGATAAAAGCCTGTGACCTCACTGGCTACCCTTTGCAGCTTTCATCAGGACAGCACAGCTCCTTGCGCAACAGTAGCTCTCTTTGTAAAATCAGAAGCGGATGGTAGTGCCATGGACACCCAAGTCTCTAGGCTGGAATCCCATTGAAAACTGGGGAATGAGCTGGGACATCCAGGTCTCGGAGACCAGTCATCGGACTCGTGCTGCTCCAGGCCCACAAGACACCAGCTGCCTGCATTTCTGACAGTAGACACCCTGCATTAAACCTTTTGATGACAAGTGTTAATCAGCTTAATGAATTTACCTGTGCCATAGCTGTTCAATAAAATGTGTATCTGCTACAGAAAAGGTTCATTTATTTGATAACTGTGAATCAGCTCTCAGTAATACCTTTCTTTTGATGCTTAGCATATAATGTAGAAGACCAGACATTTAGGATCTGCCAGGTGTGATGAACTTTTTTTAGTTCTCTTACCTATAGACATGATTTTATTTTTTGCAATTTCATAAATGTGTTCCTTTATTGATTCTCTATTCATGGTTCTGTTTTCTCTTTATTATGAAACATAAATCACTTTTTAAAAAGATAATTTGAGGCTGAATGATGGAGGAAAATACACTAAACTGTGTAATGGTTTTAGTCATGTCTAACGTAGCTTGAAGAACATTAATTAGTACCAAACTTTGTAAATGTAACTTTTTCACAGGGATGAGGATGATGATGAAGATGATGATGACGAGGAGGAGGAGGAAGAAACGCCTGTGAAGACTCCGCAGAAAAACTCAGCAATCAAGACAACACAGAAAGTAGGTGGTCTTTCTCCACTGTCTGATCATTGTAAGGCAGCTGCTCTCCTGTAGTGTTTTGAAAATATTAAAGCAGAGACCAGGTTATTGTTTCTTGTTTCTTCCACATCAGTTTGGGTAAACAAGTGCCTCCTGTTCTTGGTTTTAAAACATTTGTAACCAATGTTTCTAAAGGTGAAAATATTACTTTTTTTTTGCGTGGAATTAGCATGTTCCTGATTTGTTCTAGAAACACCAGACCTTTCTTTTATTACATTCCACTTAAAAGTAATATTTCAATACCCTTCCTGCTTTCATTACAACATAAGAATCAAATAAAGATCGGGTCCTGACTCCAGCGTGCTGTGCAAGCAAATAAAGATGAATAATTTAATCCTGTAAAGTCGGGGAATTTCGAACATTAGGTCAGCCATTTATACGGCACCCCTGGAGCAGTTGGGGTGAAGGGCCTTGCTCAGGGGCCCAACGGAGTAGGATTCCTCTGCCGACCGCAGGATTCGAACCGGCAACCTTCCAGCCACAAGCGCAGATTCTTAGCCACAGAGCCTCTGTACCGCCCCGTAGTTTACACAACATACAGTGGTTACACTGTGTAGTTATTTACAGGGCTGTGAGTTCCAGTAGCCCTACCTTCTAAAGAAGTGGAAAATCTCAGAAATCTGCATATAATCTAAATACCACACAATGCCTTAACGGGTCAGAGAGAGAGAGAAACTACCTCCAAATAAAATGGATTGTAAACAGGACTAAATCTCTGTGTCTAAACAAATGCTCACAAATGAATGGGAACCTATTTCTCTTTTCTAACTAAAGGCATCACTAAATAGGAGAGTCGTCTTTAGCCTGTAGATTGTAAAGGGAATCTTAATCTACTAATGCAAGTCAACGCAAAATAATAATAAAGCTCAGTGTCCAGTACTCTTGCACTATTTAGATTACCTAGACAGAATCTGGTCTCATGTCTGATGTCAAGAGGAGGAGCTCTCTCATTACACAAGGCTTTAGCAAGGATGAGGATGTGCCAGGGAGTCAGCAACACAGCTGTGTAATTTGTAGTTTATGGCGTAAAGGTGTTTCTCCTTTTCACAGTTCCACATATTTTCCAGTTCTTTTCTGTGTTGGACGTTACTCAAAGGGGGACTGCAACACTATTTTCAGATTTCAGGGTTAGAAAGAATCAGTTTTGATGAGTGCATTTCAAACCGCAACGAAAGTAAAATGTACACAGTAACTTGTAAAACTTCCAATTTACATCACAAAATATGTTAAATTTCCAGGCATCCGGGATTCCTTGTTCTTTGATTCAGAACGAGTCAACAAAACGTCTGGTGACGTGAGCGGCTCTATGACACTGTAAACAAGCAGGCTTGTGAATAAATCTCTATTCATCCAATAGAAATATTGTTTTCTTTTTAGGGCAGTTTTGCTGACAAATACTACTTACCTGTTAACTCTGCATGCAGATCACGTTGGAGAATTCCTGCAGTGAAATGTCTGCTGCACAACTTGTACTTATTCGCTCATACATCACATTACATTAGTCATCACGGAGACTAGTGAGCAGGAAGGGCCACATCTCATCGCAATTCGTGAGAACTCGAATGCAAGTTTGCAACAACATGGCGTCTTACAGTACTTTAAAAAAGTTCACGATTTTGTGCTTAATTTGAAATGAGTAAGTTTCTTCTATACCGTCAATGAATTTATTTTCTTACAGAGATCTAATAACCAGTCTGAGAATTGGGGACTGCAGTTCCCCTTTAATTACAGGGAGTCTGGTTAATCTTCTCCAGACTGCTTTCAATTTCTTTATTGCAGAGTGGTGACCACATTTTAAGTCCTCTTTAATATGGGTACAGATTGTATGTTTTTTCAAAATCAGGATGCAATATAGGAATCTAAGAAAAGGAATTACATTTTGTTGACTTGAAGAACAAATGGTGATGAACTCTTTTTAAAATATTTTATGGAATTGCTCACAAAGAGGTGAACACCATATGTGCTGAATCTTCTTATTAGGCCTAGTTTTGTACAGAGTCATGTTTGACCTGTATCTACTGGTATATAAGAGGAACTGGTGTATAAGGGTAAATAAGTTGCATCAGGCAGAATGTAACATTTACAGGCACAATATGGTTTTTTTTCTGGCGCTAATTCAGCCTTTTGGTTCAGCTACTGTCTTGGGTAGCCTGTGTCGGTCTTAAACTGCCATTTCTGACCACTCTTTGAGTGTTGGTGATGGATTTTTCAAAGCAGTAAATTAAAAATCCTGTTTTATGCTGTTAGACTGTTAGTGTGATTGTAGGGTCAAATGTGATATATTTTACTCAAACACAATACCACTAGGTGTCAACATTTAGCAACCCAGGAGCTCGTTTTATCCAGTTTGAGTTGAAACGCCGTGCCTATCATTCTGCAAAGAGGCCAGCTTTGCAGAAAGACAAGACAAAAGGTCTTATTATCCTTTTGAAAGGCTTGAAAGGGTCAAAAAGTGTGAAAGGAAGATGAAATAGTTGCCTTCCTGTTACTATTGTCCCACAAAGTGACATGTAAAAATATTGCTGTACTGAATGTTTGTTATCATCTGTGCTCAAAATGTCTTATTTTGTGTACAGACTAGGAATTATTTTCGTATTCAGAATTCCTTTGAAGAGCAGCTGCTGTATCAACCAGCACATTTCAGGCAGCTCACACTGCTTGAAATTCTTCCAGATGTTTGTCCTGTGTAACCTAGTGTGTGATAACCATTGCTTGTCGCAGAGCCAGCATCCAATGAGATGAGTTAGGTCACATCACTGTCTGGCCAGTGGAGAACAGTTCGGGATTGTCTTTTACACTTGTGGAAAGGGCATTTATGTGCCAGATCAAACTTTACTGAATGACCAGTCATAGATGGGAATGGAAGGTGCTTTGGTTTAGGAAAACATTCATTTACCCCCTTCACCACTGTCCAAATACATTTTGTAAAGTAACCTAATATAGGGTGTGTTGTCACGACCAAAATGTCTCTTATTGTGCTTTTTGTAATGCAAAATTCTTGGATTGATGCCGATGTCACTCCATCTTCTGAATTCTGGCTGATAAACAACAATACACAACGTTTATTTCACCAATGTTTTTTTGCAGAGGTTACTGAGATCCCGTAGCCCTGCAAGTGCGTTAGGAGGTCATTTGATGGGCTTAGCAACATGCTTAATACGTCTTACTTTGTCTACAGATGTCCCCTTAACTGTCTTAGTATTCAGCAGTACTAAAAGGACATCACTTCACTTGTAATGAATTAGTAAAAGCATTTGTAAAACTCCATACAAAAATTAGAATTTTCAAGAAGTTTTATTTAACATATGGAAATGTCAGAAATATTTATGCTCTTATTGTTCAGCGTGTATAGTTATGAGCTAGTGGGGTCAAAGCTTAGCTAGCATTGCAGTTCACACCTTACAGCACTTCTCCGTCTCAGTCTATTCAGAAAACCCACAAATGTAGGTATGGCTTGAGGTGTTTGCCTAAGTAAAGGTGAGATAAGAGGCAGATAACACAGGTGATCAAAGGGGCTTCTCTGGTGATTTTACACTGGTTAATAATCATTAGAGCCTTTGACAGAAATATAGAATGAAAGAAAAAGTTAAAGGCAGAAAGAAGGGTGCGCTCCAGCACAGACAGATAGAGGACAGCTTGCAGACTTGAAGTACTTGAAATTATTTATTATTAGTATTGGAATGGGAGATAATTGAAAATACAAGTTGTATCGGCAAGTTTTTGTCAAATATTGTCCTATTCTTGAGTCTTTACATAGAGCTATAGCTTAGGTGACTAAGGTATTAAGCTAAACAAGCTCTGAAAACACAATACATACTTTGTCTAGTATTAATAATAATAATAAACTTTATTTTATATAGCACCTTTGAAGATGGCTTCTCAAAGCGCTTTACAGGATGACAACAGCAATAAATAAAAAGACTACACAAGATAAAACACAATTACAATATACAGAGGAGACCA